GTGAAACTATCCTACCAACCCCTACATCGCAACAGGATGATTATTCCCAATATATCGGAAAATAAAAAATGTTCCAAACCACCAACCAGCCTAATATTCAAGTACCCCAAAAGAAACCCTAGGTGTTATTGAACAATACCCTTTTGGCTGTTTCCAAAAAGCAATCTTATAGAATATACACGCTTCAACCCATCCGATATCCCGCTGCAAACCAATTCTGCTACAGCTAACGCCGGGCTAACAGGGATCTTTGTGACACCAAAATGGGAACAATACAGCGAGATGTTCAAAGCCATGGGCAAACAATGAAACAATTGTGATGGGATTGTGAAACCAAAAAATCCTATTCTTGTCCGGATCGAACACACGCACAAACCTAAAACTGCGTCTGGTTCAACCAAGGGGGTTATGCCCCACGAAAAGCCACAGCAATGCTGTCACCAATCATACTCCACCCTGTCACTCGGCGCTGGCAAACCATCTTATTTTTTTTGTGACAGTGACTCTGCCTGTTTTTTTTGGGGGGGTAGATTTGGTGAAAATTTGCTGGGTCCATTCAAACAAGCCATCATCGAAAACACTGTCATTTTTTGCTCTGCAGAGGTGTTTGTTTCAGGGGTGAGACAGCAAAAAATGAGACTACGTAGTAACCGCGTTAAGCACTAGTCATAGTAACCACGATAGAAAAACTTAGTAACCACGATAAGAGTTAGACATGGTAACCACGATTAAATCTTAAACTGCGTAGAGATTTCCTAGACAGTTCCCAGAGAGGACCTAGCTCCTAGAGTTACCAAAAATTTTGGCAGTCGAGAGAGTTCCTAGGGCGTTCCCAGAGAGTTCCAGACGGAATCTGGCCGGTCTCACGACGGAATATGGCCGGTCTCATGACGGAATCTGGCCGGTCTCATGACGGAATCTGGCCGGTCTCACGACGGAATCTGGCCGGTCTCACGACGGAATCTGGCCGGTCTCACGACGGAATCTGGGCGGTCTCATGACGGAATCGCACGACAGAATCTGGCCGGTCTCACGACGGAATTTGGTTGGTCTCATGACGGAATCTGGCCGGTCTCACGACGGAATCTGGCCGGTCTCATGACGGAATCTGGCCGGTCTCACGACGGAATCTGGCCGGTCTCATGACGGAATCTGACCGGTCTCATGACGGAAAACCTCGGACGCTCAATTCCCATGACGGAATCGGGCCGGTCTCACGACGGAATTTGGGCGGTCTCATGACGGAATTTGTGAGGTTGAATGGGAAATGACGGAAACTGGCCGGTCTCACTGCTCGGTCTCATTACGGAATCTGGCCGGTCTCATGACGGAATCTGGCCGGTCTCACGACGGAATCTGGCCGGTCTCATGACGGAATCTGGCCGGTCTCATGACGGAAAACCTCGGCAGCTCAATTCCCATGACGGAATCGGGCCCGTCTCACGACGGAATTTGGGCGGTCTCATGATGGAATTTGTGCGGTTGAATGGGAAATGACGGAAACTGCCCCGGTCTCATGACGGAATCTGGCCGGTCTCAGGACGGAATCTGCCCTGTCTCATGACGGAATCTTGCCGGTCTCACGACGGAATCTGGCTGGTCTCATGACGAAATCTGGCCGGTCCCATGAGGGAATCTGGCCGGTCTCACGACGGAATCTGGCCGGTCTCATGACGGAATCTGGCCGGTCTCACGACGAATCTGGCCGGTCCCATGACGAAACTTCAAGGTTTTCTGTCTCGTGACGGAAACGGGGTCTCACGACGGAAATAGTGGGAACTCAATGAGGTGGTTTCATATCGGAAGCGCAGGCTTCCCATGACGAAAATTGAATGGTTTCACCAGGAAATTCAAGGCTCTCTGACGCAATCCGAATGACGGACATGGTGGGAGAGGGTTCTAAATGGAATTTCAAGGGCCTGTCTCATGACGGAAACGGAAGGGTTTCATGAAGGAAATGGATGGAAATGGAAGGATCTGAGGGGGTTTAAGTCAAATTGTCACGCGTCTGTCTCATGACGGAAACGGAAAAGTCCCATGACGGAATTAGCCGGGATTTGATTGAGGTTCTCATGACGGATGCTGAGGGGTCTCATGCAGATCATGCAGAAAATTAAGATATTTCAAGGGTCAGTCTCATGACGGAAAGAGGGGTCTCATGACGGAAATGGGTGGGGTCTCAATGGGGGGTTTCATGACGGAAGCGCATGTCTCTCATGACGGGAGGGTCTCTGACGGAATCCGAGTGACGGAATTTGAGGGATCCGATTTCAATGTTTCATGACGGGGTCTCACGAGTTTCATCACGGAATTTCCAGGGGTTTCAAACAAAATTTCAACGGCCTGTCTCATGACGGAAACAAAAGGGTATCATGACGGAAATGGCACACAATCTGAGGGGGGTTAAGTCGAACTGTCAAGGGTCTGTTTCATGACGGGAAACGGAAGGGTCTCATGACGGAAACGGGAGGGTCTCATGACGGAATTTGAGGGATCTGATTGGGGGTCTCATGACGGATTCTGAGGGGTATCATGACGAAGCTTTAAGGGTCTGTCATGAGACCGGGCAGTGAGACCGGCCAGTTTCCGTCATTTCCCATTCAACCGCACAAATTCCGTCATGAGACCGCCCAAATTCCGTAGTGAGACCGGCCCGATTCCCTCATGGGAATTGAGCTGCCGAAGTTTTCCGTCATGAGACCGGTCAGATTCCGTCATGAGACCTGCCAGATTCCGTCGTGAGACCGGCCAGATTCCGTCATGAGACCGGCCAGATTCCGTCATGAGACCGGGCAGTGAGACCGGCCAGTTTCCGTCATTTCCCATTCAACCGCACAAATTCCGTCATGAGACCGCCCAAATTCCGTCGTGAGACCGGCCCGATTCCGTCATGGGAATTGAGCTGCCGAGGTTTTCCGTCATGAGACCGGTCAGATTCCGTCATGAGACCTGCCAGATTCCGTCGTGAGACCGGCCAGATTCCGTCGTGAAACCGGCCAGATTCCGTCGTGCGACCGGCCAGATTGCGTCATGAGACCGGCCAGATTCCGTCATGAGACCGGGCAGGTTCCGTCATGAGACCGGCCAGATTCCGTCGTGAGACCGGCCAGATTCCGTCGTGAGACCGGGCAGATTCCGTCCTGAGACCGGCCAGATTCCGTCATGAGACCGGGCAGTGAGACCGGCCAGTTTCCGTCATTTCCCATTCAATCGCACAAATTCCGTCATGAGACCGCCCAAATTCCGTCGTGAGACCGGCCCGATTCCGTCATGGGAATTGAGCTGCCGAGGTTTTCCGTCATGAGACCGGTCAGATTCCGTCATGAGACCGGCCAGATTCCGTCGTGAGACCGGCCAGATTCCGTCATGAGACCGGCCAGATTCCGTCATGAGACCGGCCAGATTCCGTCATGAGATTGGCGAGATTCCGTCATGAGACAGGGCAGATTCCGTCCTGAGACCGGCCAGATTCCGTCTGGGAATTGAGCTGCCGAGGTTTTCCGTCATGAGACCGGCCAGATTCCGTCATGAGACCGGCCAGATTCCGTCGTGAGACCGGCCAGATTCCGTCATGAGACCGGCCAGATTCCGTCGTGAGACAGGCCCTTTTCCTAGTTTGTATACTGCAGGATGGGTTCTGATAAAGGAAAAAAAACGAGGTCCAAAACGGATCAAAACGAGGTACGGAAAAAGCCCCGCATCTACACACATGGACTTTGGCCCGCAACAATCCAGCTTTTCAACCCAACAGGTGTGATTCCAATTTGGCAAAAGGATTCACCAGATTTCATCCGCCTCCAAGTTTGAGCCCCTGTCTTGAGAGACATCATGGGAATTGAGCTGCCGAGGTTTTCCGTCATGAGACCGGTCAGATTCCGTCATGAGACCGGCCAGATTCCGTCGTGAGACCGGCCAGATTCCGTCATGAGACCGGCCAGATTCCGTCATGAGACCGGCCAGATTCCGTCATGAGATTGGCGAGATTCCGTCATGAGACAGGGCAGATTCCGTCCTGAGACCGGCCAGATTCCGTCTGGGAATTGAGCTGCCGAGGTTTTCCGTCATGAGACCGGCCAGATTCCGTCATGAGACCGGCCAGATTCCGTCGTGAGACCGGCCAGATTCCGTCATGAGACCGGCCAGATTCCGTCGTGAGACAGGCCCTTTTCCTAGTTTGTATACTGCAGGATGGGTTCTGATAAAGGAAAAAAAACGAGGTCCAAAACGGATCAAAACGAGGTACGGAAAAAGCCCCGCATCTACACACATGGACTTTGGCCCGCAACAATCCAGCTTTTCAACCCAACAGGTGTGATTCCAATTTGGCAAAAGGATTCACCAGATTTCATCCGCCTCCAAGTTTGAGCCCCTGTCTTGAGAGACAAATTAGGGACACATTCGGAAGAGCTGGGAGACAACTGGAAGCCAAGTTCAAAACCCACAGGCCCAAGCTGCGAGACAAGCGGACAGAAATTCGCATCTGTGAAATATATGTTCAAATATATTGATATATTGTAAAGGTATATATATACAGAAGAATCAACTCACTAGACTATCGTGGTGATCTTATCATTCTTATCGTTGTTACTACGATCTTATCGTTGTTTCCAGGTCTTTATGATGGTTTTGTAGAAGGTTACAGCAAAAAACAGCAAACATCCCGTGAAAATCCCATCAGTCACCCCGTTGGGTCAGATTCACCCAACGGACGGCATATGACTTCTGAAACTCTGGGACTAAACATCAACGGTTTTTCAACATTTTCCAACCACGAGACCATAAAAAAAAGTGTACCTGCCCCACCAGATTCGCATTGTTTATCCACCAGATGCATTCGGTTTATCCCAGATGAATTATCAACAACCAATACTAAATTTCTAAACAACTATTTTTGACAAATGGTCATACCCTCTGGTAATTTAACGTAGCTATTGAAAATGACCATTAATAGTGGATTTTCCCATTAAAAATGGTGATTTTCAATAGCTATGTTAAATTACCAGAGGGTATATTGTTTCAGGATCATCTGAAATCACCCGATGCTTCGGCCATTGCGAAATCGTTTTTCGCTGCCGGTCACAGGGTCACATGGCGCTACACCGGGTGCATCGTTTCCCTTCACCTGGACAGCACGGCACCAAGGCAACCCGCCTTGGAAAATGCAACCTCCAATGGATTGTCACCATGGAACCATGACAAAAATTGCCCATGACAATATTATATGTATATATATATGCCTTCTGGTTGTTTAACATAGCCATGGAAAATCACCATTTTTAATAGGTAAACCATCTATACTGGTTATGACTAACATAGCCATGGAAAATCCATGAAATAAATGGAGGTTTCTAGCGAAAATCATCTGTAAATGGGCCATCTATACCATGGCTATGTTAAATAACCAGAGGGTATATAAATATGGCAACATGATGAACCAAAATCCCAAGTTTGATGGGAAACCTGAATTGGTGCCATTGGAATTAGAACCTTAGCAGGGGCCCCTTCGACGTGGGAAAATCATGCGGCAGAAGAAACCGTTTTTGGCGGCCAAAAAGTTGAGTCCATTTTACCGACACGCGCATGTTTGAATGTTGAACCGTCCAGTCAAACAATGAAGTATCTACAAAATTTCAAGATGTACATATTTAGAACATCTACTAATTAAAGTATCTACATGTTTGGGACTTTAGATGACTTTAGTGTTCTATAAGATCTACATGTCAGCTGGTTCAGGTGGTTGGCGAAACTCCCGTAGACCACCTTGGTGGCAGAACTCAACAAAAAGGTAAATTACAATTAGCTGGGTCGATGGAGGCAAAAAAATATAAGTTACATATATGTGGGCTGCCAAGATTATTGATCTTACCTTTTTTTAACGTAAAGGCTCCTCATTTTAACTCACATTTTTGGGGTCAAAGTTTGTCCAGCCATCGTCCATCCATCCGCTTTTTGCGACTTTTCGCAAAGGCGTCCAGGACAGGAGTTGAGGCTTTTCAGGCTGCGAATGTATATATAAATATCTTTACCATGGGATATGATTATACATATAGAATATATCATATATATGAGATATGATTATATATCTTTACCATGGTATGTTCCAAACTTCACTTCTGGCAATCCGTTCCCAGAAACAGAGGGTGAACTGGACAACTTCCAGCTGGTGACAAAGAAATCACGCACGCTGGAGCTTCAAGGCCCCAAGAAGAGATGGGGAGAGTGCGCAGGAAGAACTTGGCCCCCTTAAAGGTGTCTTGGAGGACCACACCCTAAACTCCGAACCCAAACTCTGGCAAATGCAGATCATGATCATGATCCTACTGGATTCCTACTCATTTTATCTCATTTTCCTATGAGTCCTTTGAGCCCTTCGGCCCTGCCCCTCGCCTGCTGCCGCAGGCGTTGAAAAGACTCTTTTGGCAGCTCGCCGCCTCAGGATCAAATTCCTGGGGATTTCTCAAACGCCCCAAGATATCAAAGATGGTGTGATGGTTCTAAGGAATCCTGGCGGTTTCAATGATGTCTTGTTTAATTCTATGTTCATCCAGTTCATCCCTATTGCCATGATGATTCCCAAGGGGTCAAAAGCTTGCCCTGCATTTTCACATGAGCGATGCTGGTTCATAGGTATTCCAACGGTGGATTAGAATGACCGCCCTGGAAGCTAAAAAAAGGGGCGGAAATCAAACATGATTGAAACGTTTTGAAGCCACCAACTAATCAAAACAAATATATAACTTAATTGAAATGTTGTCCCATTGATTAAGCGTGGTACCTGTGGTGTTGCCATAATATGCCAAGAACCATAGTGCTGCCAACCGCTACAAGCATGTGTTGCTAGCTACCAGATATGTGATTGCTTGTAGTTTGGCTTATAACTACCCGGAACTACGGAGCAGATGATGTTGGGATGCTCATCTCTCCAAATCTGCCCTCTTTTGGTGTTATTCTGTTGTTTTCTGATCAACCTGCCATACTTTTGCCCACAAAACTATATGGAAGAAAAATTGGAAACTGATTTTATATCATGTTTTTTCTTTCTAGACACGTTCCCATATGTTCATATACTTTCCGTACTAGAATGGCGTCTCACTAGCAAAATGGGATGTAAAAATGGCATCAAAGGCCAGCTGGCAGCTCTTCATCTTCCACGTCGGTGAAAGCGATCAGGTGAACCTCTTCCAAACCTGCGGCGAAGGGTGGGATACCCTCTGCTAATTTAACATAGCTATGTGGAAAATCACCATGTTCAATGGGTAAATCCACTATAAATCACCATTTTCAATAGCTATGTTAGTCATTACCAGAGGGTAATCTTTATATAATGAAATAGTCACTCTAGTTGATCACTATAGTTGATCGCTATAGTCAATCGCTATAATACGGTGAAGATTACCTCTATGGATAATCACTATAGTTAATTTTTCATAGCTCTATACTTAATCCATAGATCATCTTTAGCCATTATGGTAAGAATCGGATTGTCAAACATGATTCTTTTTCGTTGCAGACGATCTGATGACTTTCCTGATCACCTTTCAGCCCGCTCCCCTCAGTTCTGGCCAGTGAAAATGATGATGAACCGGTAGATGAAATGATGCAACGGTGGTGTTCCTATAGTTTTTTAGATAAACCTGATAAACCATGATAAACCAAATGGTGGCTGTTGGTTGAATCAGTTACAGTATATAACACCCATTTCTGTTGCTTCAAATCAGTTGTTTCAGATCAGAACATCCGTCTGGAATAAGCCACTTTTTTTTGATCATTCCTCTAATCATGATCTGTGAGGTCGGATTATACCCCGTTCATATCCCACCAATTGTCATTTTTTAAAAATCCATATATATATATATAGCCATATTTGTTGGTTATACATACGATGTATTTGTATATGGCATTATGTGGTTATATCCCCATTGCATCTCTATCATTGCTGGCAAAACCTCCTTGTGATCACCAGGTTTCCGCTTTCATTCATGGTCAATTCTCATCCAGTCGGTCGACCCAAGTGTCGTATTTTGCTTTGCGATTTATACAATCTGGTTATTTAACATAGCCATGGTATAGATGGCCCATTTATAGATGGTGTACCTATTAAAAATACGGTGATTTTCCATGGCTATGTTAGTCATAACCAGAGGGTATATATCCCATTGGTTCCCCCTTGTGATATCCCCTTATATCCCCATTGACATTCCCATGAGACTCTGAGATCGCAGTAAAACCTCATCCAATGCTATTGTCCATATTCTCATCCAAGAATGGCAATCTTTTTGTGAGAACAAGTTTCAGCGAATTCTACTAATTCATTATTCCCTTCATCTGAAACTGAATATCCCTTCATTAAATAATAGAGAAATCTACTAATGTTGAATATCCCAGGAATATCCAATTCATTATTCCCTTCATCTCCCCTTGTAAAGACCATCCCATCCCCCATCTTCACCCAACATGAAAAACCACAATGGACCAATAGGGATTTATATCATTTGATCTCCACATATTTGGGACTATTTAAAGTGGGATCTCTCCGAATATTTTGATTCCCCTATATTTTACCTACTGTGGATGGTTGAGAAATCCTGCACCAGCAATTTGGGATGATTGAAACCCCAAAAAAATCATGGGAAAAAGCGAACAGGTCAACTGCTGCACCATTTTGCAACCATCCACAGTATGTAATATTTAGTAATTTTGTGGTCCCGCCTTCGTAGACGTTGTCCTTCACAGCTTGACAGGCGATCTCCAGCACCTGGTCCAGCGAGCGATCGCCGCGGAAAACTCCGGCGGACCTTGGTCCAACATGGATCAAAATGGGGAAAAACAGTACCAAACCAATGGTTGTTGTTTTTTCAGCAAACCAGGTGCTATTTTTTTTCAGCAAATCCAAGAGTATCCAAGAACATTATTGATAAAATGTGTGGAAATTCACCGTTAAATAAGGTTGTTATTTCACCAAAACATGGAGGATTGAACAAGCCAAGCCGCGGATTTCACCCGAATTTCATCAGACTCTGATGCATTCCCTGGCTCTTACCCTCTGGCTATTTAACATAGCCATGGTATAGATGGCCCATAGAAATAGAGGATTTATGAGGATTTATGAGGATTTAGCTATTGATAGCATGGTGATTTCCCAGTTCGCTACGTTAGTCATAACCAGATGGTAAATGACTTTTCTGAATACTTTTCTGGTGGATTTCCCATGGGATTTCCCATGGGATTTCCCAATGAGCCCTAAGAAATCATGTCCTACGGTGGGTGGTTGCGAAATCTTGCACCAGCAATTTGGGATGGTTGAAACATGTTGAAACCCTATAAAGAATGGGATGTTTACCACCGTTTTCAACTGGTGATTCGGATTTCGCTGGCGCATCCACAGTATGTTCGGGATGGTCATATGCATCTGGGTGGCAGGAGGGCGAAACCCAAAGTTTTCACGTCCTTCTCTTGGGCAACTTGCAAAGAGCTCGCCTCATCACTTGGTGACCCCCCGTAAAAAAGAAGTTAGCAGGGAGAAAAACATCAAATAATATGTGTATACAAATGTCAAATATGAATCGAAAAAAAACACAATCATAAAGAATGAAATGCAACATTTAGGGTTGAAAATAACATCTATTTGCCATCACCAACCAGTTGACATCGAGCTGAAGGAGAGGTCAGGAAACGATGGTTTTGCAGAGTGTGTTCCTGTAAAATGTCCCCGAAAAAACTGGGAGTGTGTATGTGAGTATCACTGCCTATCCACCGACCTAGTAATCCACTGATGTTGTTCTTGTCTGTGAATAACGATCTGATTTTTCCAGCATGTGTCAATATCGGTGCTTATGGTTCCCGGGCGATAGCGATCAGTGATGCTGGCAGCTGTTGTGACATTTTTCAATTCAGGACACCGGCACAAAGTGGCTATGCAAAGAAAAGATCAACATCCCGCCTAAAGCCCTTCTTTATAATATATATATATATATGTATATATGATTATCATATTATATATATATATGATTATTATATTATATACATATATATATATATCATATAAAATAATAATATATATATAAAGGGTATGAGACCTGATCGGCAAGTGCGGTCTGAAAGATTCCGTGCACTCTGTCCACCTCATATCTGAACCAGCTGGGGATGGATCAAAACCAGTTCACCAGGGTTCCAGTGCTTGGTGCTCCATCCCATTGTCAATGGCCATTTCAGGATCCTAAAAATGGAGGTACCTACCATATATAAGGCCTATGTAAGGCCTATGTACGGGAATATCCCCACAAAATATGGCCTTATATGGTACAGTACCTCCATTTTAGGATCCTGAAATTCCCATTGACATTGTAACAAGTAGATTAGTCCGCAGGTATAAGTGGACGATCACAGCATTTATCCACGATTTCCAACCAGGTATGTAACAAGTCTGCGAAACTCTGATTGTAGGTTCTTGGCTCCACAGTTAATGTCATTTAAATTCATTTGACAGGGAATATATGGAGGTGTCCTAGAATAGTGGTAACCCCTAAATCATCCATTGTAATCGGATTTTCCAATATAAATTATAAACCATCCAGCTATTGGGGGATCCCCCATCTATGGATACCCCCGGCTCCGAATCACTCCCTGCACCGGATAGAAAACTGCCAAGGCACGTAAGCTTTGCGCAGTAACTCGTCGCTCTTGCTGAAGTCCGGATTGCCTCCAAGCGCGTTTTTTTATCGGGAACGCTGGAGGCAGATCACAGCAACATGTGTGGTTTCATCTATATAGTATCATCTAGTTGGTGAAACTTCACCCTTGGAAGAAGATGAAAGTCAATTTACATCATCGTCCCATTAAAAAAAAAAACATCAAAAAATCAAAATCCCGGCAGCGGCGTGCGGGAAGTGAGGCACCTTTTTCTTTGGGCAAAAGAGCGCTCTGGGATGCGCATGGAATGTCTGCAAGACTGAATGCTGCAAAGGTGGAATGCTATGTCACTGCTGTTTCACATGCAGTTTCACACCCGTCCTCACCTGCAGCAGCGTTTTGCTTTTCAGCTTTTCTGCGTCTCCTTCCATCTCGGATCTTCTGTTTGGTTTCTTCGGCTTCGGCGCTTGGTTTCAGGCGCCATTTTCCAGTGGTCATCGCATCCAAAAGAGGTTCTCTTTCACATCCAGCTTTCGTCAAAACGTCGGCTAGCATCTGCGATGTGTCACACCAATGGCAGCGTACTGAACCATCATCTTCATAGCTGTCGCCGCCAAGAAACTCTTTCACCTGGCTGACAAGTATTTTCACTCGCTTATCAGCAGGCTGGCCAGCGTCCTTGTTCAAGGTGGCTTCCAAAGACTTCGCGTCCGTCAACGCGATCAGCAGGCCCTTCAGGTAAAACCTATCCAAGTCAACCATGGAAACGCCTGGATGCTTCACTTCCAGCAAGAGCATCCTCACATAGTCGGCGGCCTCGGTCGCGGTGAGGAACCCGTTTGTTTCTGCAGCCAAAGTGCTGCGACAAACACGCTTGATGCTTCCGCTGTAAGCCTCCAGTATCATCACCGGCGTGTCATAGCCGGAGGTGAAGTCAGCAGTGGTCAGACCAACCACATAGCCACATTGGCTTCGCAGCTTGGTCGTGTTTGCGAAACTGCTGTCAGCCATGCAAAACACCACGGCATTCTCCAGAGTGAGGTTGGAGCTTGGGACAAAGTTCCACTTGAAGTCATAGCTCTCCTTTAGAACCTTGACAACCTTGTTAAGCTCCACGACATCCTTGATCGTCGGATTTCCCATTGTTTGGGATGCCAGGGAAACGTTCACAAGCACGTCAGGTCTGGTCTGACGGGCAATCCATCCAAGTGAACCAATCAGCCCTCTGAAGGCTGACTTCTCATCCTCATTCAACGGCGCATTCGGCATGACGCGCCTGTTCTTCTGCAAAACCATATATTCCAAACTCTCAATTGCGTCGATCTGGTCCAAAGAAACAGATCCATCTTGGTTTTGTTTCACATTCTTTCCACAAAAACGAAAATCACCAACTTTCCTCTTCAAATAAATCTCTTTCTCCAAAACTTTCAGGGACTCTTCATACTTCTTTCCGGTGCCAGTGGAATAAAGGTCATCCACGTGGGCTACGAGCGCAACGACCAAAACTTCAGAGTCAAAAAGGTAAAACAGTGCGGCTTCCAATTTTGACATCACCCAGCCAAGTCGCTGGAGAGCTTTGAAAAGTTTCTTCCACCAGCTACGGCCAGCATCTCGCGTGCCGTAAATGCTGCCTTTCGCACGCAGCAAGTCATGTGGGGAAACTCCAGGAGGTGGTGGTCGAGGAGGACGGAGAAGCAGGAGACGTGCTATTCCTTGAGATTGGAGATATGCTGTGCTCGCATCATACGCTTCCAAAATCCACTGAAAAATAACTGACAAACAAGTCACAAAATTGAAGGCCAGGAGTGATGCAGTGGGAGAGTCAGATCTGATGCCAGTGTCCTTCTCCTGGCAGCCAATGACAACCATTCTGGATTTGGCTTCGAAGGGGTACTCCTTCTTGATCTGAGCTTCAGACTTCCCAGTGCGTCGCCGCATTGCACCAGCCATCAAGCGCGGCTTCTGGTTCTTGTCAGTGTGAACCCATCGCGTGTTCACAATCTCAGCGTCTTGAGGAAGAGCTGCGATCTGGCTTTCTGAGAGGATCTCCACAGCGCTAAACTTCTTGAAAGAGTTCCACTCCTTCTCCATGGACTGGTCAAACTTGGCACGGTCTTCTACTGAAAGGTCGTTGAGGTCGATCTCGGACCGAACTGCCTTGCCAGTCAGGAACGCTTCAAGCTTGGGATTCTCCTCGTAGCATGTGGAGTCATCAGACATGGAATCGTCAGTGTGCTCTGACGCATCAGCCAGACGTCGATGAGCAAGTCGGTCAGATAGATCTTCGCATCCAGCAGGCCAATCATTCTCTTGGACAGCTTCTCCAAGATAAGGCCCAGTGAAAACTCTGGCACCTCCACCTTGAGGACCATAGCTTGGTTCTGGTGCTGTTCGAGGTAGTCCATAGCTTCCGCCAGGATGCCCATCAAGTCGTTGTGGATTCCGCATCGCTTGGTGAAGCTGAGCAATGAAGGGAGCAACAGGAGCAGGTTGTTGAGGAAGTTGTTGATCCCTCGGGGTCTGCGGACCAGGATCAGGTTCTTGCTCGGTCACCTGTCTCATATGGCCGGCATGGCTTTGCTGCTGCTGCTGTTGTTGCAAAGGCACATCGCCCGTCCTTATCTCTTGCTCTGCATCTGGAGGCGGGTCATCAAAGACTGTTGGTCGTTCTTCAGGAATCGCAGGCATTGCAGGTTGGGACACAAATTGTCCTGATGCAGGCCGGGCTGAGGAACTTGCCAAGGTCGTAGTCGGTGTTGTCCTGAAAATTGTTTCGCCAACCCATTTGGCCACAAGTTCGCGTCCAAGGTCTTGACGCCAGTTGTCGGTGATGGTGTCCGTGAGGACGTGATCACGCATCTCAGCCTCATAAATGGCCTCAGTCACTCGTTCATCTTGGAGTTGGTCAAGTGGTACTGGGCAAGCATCAGGAACATAAAGTGCTTTTCTGGGAACGTTGTGGACCCGAACAACTCGTCCATCTGGAAAAGTTCGCCAAAAATCGGCGTTGACACCACCCCCCTGCAGCTGAAGCATTGGTTGCTGAAGCTGGTTGCGGATGTCAACATAGTTGCGGGCTCCACGGTCGCTTCCCTGCTCCACGGCATAGTGGGGCACATAGTGAGCTGCCAAAAGCTCATCTTCACTTGCAAACCTCAATTGTTCACCAGAGGCCAAAATCACGCTGGGACCATAGCGGAGCCAATAGCTGCTTGGGGCTGAGCCATCAGTGGCTGGATTGCCGTCTTCAGTGCGGCGTGGGTTGCGAAGTTCGAGTCCAATGACTCTCGCAGGTCCATACTAGTTGTAAGGTCGGCCATCTTGTTGCCGTTGCTGAGGCTGGCGCCTGTAAAAGTACACGTAGGATCCAATAGGAAAAGGTCCACGTGTTGGTGTACTCTTTCTCAACAGTGCTCGCCTCACACGGCTATCTGAATCCAAACGAATTTGAGCCACTCGAGCAGCTTCACGAACGGCCAAAGTCTTTGCCATTTCACTGTGGGGGTTTTCAGCTGCTTCGAGAACTTCAAGTTGTTGGCTCTCATCTGAACTGAGAAGGCTGCCTGGAAGGCGGGTCTCAGGATGGCCAAGTACCCACTGGTTGGGCGAGTACCCATTGGTGCGTGGAAAGGCATTTCTGGTTTGCGTCACAATTGACGCAGCAGTGATTGCATCTGCAAGTGTTGAAACATCAACATCAACAACTGTCTTGGCCCAGACTTCTTTCCAAAGGCCACCAGCACGTTCGCACTTTCCATTCTGCCAAGGTGATTCAAGAGGAATCACTTGCTGCTCGACACCATACTGCTTCAGGTAGTCTGAGAACTGAGCCATGTACTCCTTGCCACGGTCAACTTGGAGAGAATGGGGAAGTCCAGCCCAAGATGACCATGAAGTCAAAAAGTGACGGAGCACAATGCCAGATGATGGCGTCCCAGTCAGTTCTCCAAGGCAAGAAACCACTTGAAATCCAGTTGCATCGCAAAGGATGTTGAGGAAGGCTAAACTTTTGCCTTGGCTGTTCTTGGCATAGAAGGTGTCGGCAAGGATGTGCTGGTTGAACACATAGGCCGATGGCATTCTCACAGGCTTGGGACGTTTCTGCCGGATCGATTCACCACAAGCGTCACAGGCCATAAGTCCAGCGGCTCGGACGACTTCCGGCTTTGCCCCCTGACGTCGCAGGATTCTCTGCATTGTTGTTGAGGTTGGATGTCCAAAATTGACATGCAAGGTCCTGAGCAACTTGCGAATCTCAGGATCCACTTGAAGCCATTGATGTCGGCGATCAGCTTCTGTCTGGTTGAGGATTGGGTCCAGTGCTGCAGCTTGTTGAGCTCGAAAAGATGAGTCATCATCTGGAGGTAGATCACCAAGTTCGCCAACTGGTTGAGGTGCTTCAGCTCCTTGTGGTCGCACATAAACTGGCGGAGCTGGGCTTGAGATCGTTGCCATTCGACCCTGTCTGCGGCGCTTGGGAGATCTCCCAGAGAGACCGCTCGCAGGACGGCGCTGAGCATCACCAGCATAGATCTCATCAGCGAGGTGCTCCTCAATGGCGGCTTGTTGTATGATGCAATCCAAAACCATCTGATTGAGCTCGGAAGGCCATGCTGCAGCTTGAGTGGTTCTGGGGCCAAACTCATTGTTGCCCTCAAGTGGTTGATGTTCATGGCTATGATCACATCGGCATGTTGCAAAAACGCTCTCAGCACACAACATTGATGTGATGTAAAAGGAAGGCTTCTTGTTGGGCAGTCCGGTGACGGAATCTTTGTAGCCAACCATGCAGCCGTCAACCACGATGAACAGCAAAGTGCCGTCCTCAACCAACTTTCTAACATCTGCCATTTCAGGTTCATCAAGGACTTGTGACCCCAGAGGTTGTTCCATGAAGATGTGCCTGTTGGCACGGAGTCTATCCTTGATGGTCTTGTTAACAACTTTCAGCAAGGGACGACCATCTTCTCGCAGTTGAAGGACGGTGACAGAAGCGCTGCCACCCTTGGAGATGTTGAACCTCGACCAATTCCCCCATGGACCGCACGGTTGCGTCAGCACAGTGCAAAAGGGATCTTCCTGTTGGAAGTCTTGGTGAAGCTGACGCCTTCCAGCAGGAGTCAAAGCGTCCCAGCCGTCCAAGGAGATGTCGCGAGGGATACCAAAAACCATACCATGGAAAACTGCCAAAATGGTCAAACCCATCTGTCCAGCAAAAACTTGTTTGAGCCATGTTTTTCCGGTTGGAGGCTTTCTGGCAGCCTTTGAGGCTTGCTGCATCCTGAGCTGATTGGAAACCAAAGCATCCATCCCGCAAAGTGCGGTGTCCATCGCAGCAATCTTTTTGGCTTTTCGGCTGCTGGGCTTTCGAACTGAAAAGAAACCCTTTTCAACCTCTTCCAGAAAAACATCTGTGCTCTCACAGTGAAAACCTTCATGATGCTGATTCATGACCCTTTCTAACTCAGCTTCATCGATGCCAAAAACGACATCCCAGGCATCTTGTGACTCGCGCCTGGTGTCCGGATCAAATCCATCGTCGTGGCTGAGGGCATCACTTGACGGCGAGACCGGCTCAAGTCCAGGAGCCAAATCCAAGGTCTCGGAGGCTTGCTCAAGTCCAAGAGCAGGAAATCCAATAGCCTCAGAGGCCGGCTCAAATCCAGGCGCCAAGTCCAAGGCCTCAGTTTCTGCCGCATTGACATCAAACTCATCATATCCTTTGACCAGCTCGTCAAAAACTGACATGGTGTTCAAATCAAAGTCCAAAAGAGAGATGGCTAAATGGCCACGGCTGGTTCTCTTCAAGGGAAGATCTCTGATGTTGAGCTTGGAAAAAGAAACTGTCCCCTCGCCAAGGTTGATGATTGTGCCGAGGGTTTGCATGAAAGGACGTGAAATCAGCATTGGTGTTTTTCCTGGTGTTTCTGCTGAGTGGAGCTCGCCATTGACTCCACCAAGTCCAACAGGGTAGGCCTTGACGACCTTGGACTCAGCATGTCCTCCAATCCCCTTGAACAGCTGGGTCTTGTTTCGGATTGAAGGTTGAAGTCCAAGTTCAGCGAGCTTCTCTTCATAGGCTTTGGCCCATTCTTCGCCGTGCATGGTGCGGTTGCACCCAGAGTCCAGTATGGCAAGACCAGGTGGGTCTGCAGGCTGCACGGCATAGGCCTCATAGTTGAGGTCTTCATCAACCATCATCACTTCGCACTCATGAACCTTGAGAGAGCTCGGATCATAGTAATCCAGCTGCAGGGGAACCTTGATGGTCCGGCTTGTCAACATGTCCTCAGGGCTGAAAGGACGTTTGCCAGCAGGTAGAACCTGACCAGTTCCACTGAGCTTGACACCAGCTTGCCAGGCAATTTGCAACCGAACATACAAGTACGAAGCAAGCCTAAAAACAGGTGGTGACATGGGCTCAAGGTTGAGTGCGATGTGCATCACTTGCTTGCAGTAGGGCTCGGACTCAAAGTTGGTGGCTATGTCCACAAACTTGTAGCCACGAAATGGCCCTTCAGGCATCACAGTGTCGTCACCTGGCAAGGGCTGCAAAACATCCAAATCCTCAGGCTTCAGCTCCGGAAACGGCGGCAAGTCGACGCCTGGAGCGAGCAGCACACCAAAGAGCCAGCATTGGGTCTCAGGCGACCTCACAATGGTTGCTGTCTTCCGAGCTGGAAGTCGTGGCACATCTGGATAGCCACGTTGGCCTAACTGACTGGAGTCAGCTTCAGATGGAATCACACTCCATCCAGGGCTGCCAGGGGACGCAACATGGCCAAGAGCCTTCTGCTTGTCTTTGTCCTCCAGCATCTTTGTGAGTCCGCTGGAGCAGATCCGGTAAATCAAAGTCGATCTGAGCTTGCTGCCAAACTTCGTGCACAAAGCCACCTGCACGAGGTATGACCACATTTGGATAGCTTCGCGGCGACGGCCACAAATCACAGTCTTGTCACATTGCTTGCAGGTCAAATGGCGAGTGTGGCCATTCGCGCCACGGTGGATTTGCTTCTCATCTCCGCCGCAGTAGCTCAGATGCTCGCAGTGCTGGGTCTCTTTCAAGACCATGAAACATTCCGCATGAAAACTTGTATCGGTGAAACTTTTGCTGTCATCGGCAAGTCTTGGTCCATCAGGCACAGCAGGGCCTTTCTTCTCTGTCGCAGTGCATTGGTTCTGAGATCCATCAACCTTGTACTCGTTGGAGTCAGGGACCAGGGCATTCACATGAACTGCAGTGGCGTCAGGGGCTTTGGCATTCTCAAAAACCATGTCATTCTTTGGAACTGCGGAGGGCTTGAAAACTTTGGCATTCTTTGGAGGGATGTCATACCCAGGGGCTGCGTCATTCACAAGGGCTGCATTGGGCTCAGAGTTGGAGTGCACAGGTCGCAGCTTTCCAAAGGATGCAAAACGAACTTCGTTCTCATCTGCAGATTCCAAACTATCTGCAAAACAAACATGGCATGAGAGGCTTTCTTCGGAGATCCTGACTTCTTCGGTTTCTGACCCTTTCCCTTCCCCTTCGGCTTGAAATTGGGGCATTCTTGATCTCCAACCCAGTGACCTCGTTGGTTGCAAGAGGTGCAGGTTGACATGCTCTTCAGAAACTTGATGGCGTTCTTCCGGTTCTCCTTGGCCTTGGTGTCGAACTGGATGTCGCCATGAGCTTTGAACGGATAGCTATGGCTGCTGCCACTGGACTGTGGCTTCTTCTTCCCAGAACCCTTCTTCTTGGCTCTGAACTGAGCCACAGTTGCAAAGGCTTCCGCAACATGCGGATCATCCAGCGATCCACCACATTCTTGAATCAAAGCATCAAGGCCATCGTCGTCGCTGTAGGCGAGGTAGCTGTCATCTGCTTCGTCGTCCTCGGCCTCAGCGTCATCATCTTCGTAATATCCATCGCCATCATATTCAGGCTCATCATCTTCGGCCTGATCATCAGCCAGGAAGGCATGTTGCTTGAACCTGCCCTGACCGACCTTCCACTTGGCCGATTTCATAGCGCCATGTTGACCACCTCCACGTGCACATCCTAGATAGTCACGTCGAAACACTGGCTTGCCACTGATCTGAGGAAACTGGATCCTCAGCGCATGGGAGACCTTCTTGAAGTCGTACTCGTTTCCAACAGAAGCCAAAACTCCTAGCTGTTCACGTTGATCCAATCCGCTGAAAGTCAGCAGCATCATGCACCTCAGGTTGTCACTGACGGTGGTCTCTTGGGAGGACTCCTTGAGACGAGCAAAGTCCTGTTCCCTTCTGATGATATACTGCTGCATGCTTTCTTGCGGTTTTCTCCAGACATCAGCGCTGTAGAAGGCAGTGAAGAAGAGCTCGTTGATCTTCACTGGCGTCTCAGCTGCTATGCTCTCTTTGAGAGTCTGAATCAACAACTTCATTCCCGCTTCAGTGGCTTTTCCTTCAGCAGTCGCAGTTCGGAGCTTTGAGTGCTCCAGCTTTCTGACAGCCTCGTATGCATGGCCTGTAAGGCCTGAGCGAAGGTGGATCGGAGTGGACACCTGGGATTCCTGACCTTCTCTTCCAAAGTACAAGTCCCAGGCACGCCCTACATATTCTTCAAAAGCTTCCACTTCGCCAGCATACTGAGGAACTCCGTATCGATCGCAAATGATCTTGGAGGCAGTAGAGGAAGTCATGGGAGGTTGTAGACACCTTCAATGGTGAAGTTCCAACCAGTAGTAGGAGGCTGGTGCCGCAGGGCTGCCAGCAGGTCGCACAACGAGCGCAAGGGGCTGGAACCTTAGGCACCAGCTAGCAGAGGCCCTGAGTGAACAGGGCTCCGCTACCATCAAAATCCCGGCAGCGGCGTGCGGGAAGTGAGGCACCTTTTTCTTTGGGCAAAAGAGCGCTCTGGGATGCGCATGGAATGTCTGCAAGACTGAATGCTGCAAAGGTGGAATGCTATGTCACTGCTGTTTCACATGCAGTTTCACAAAAAATGTCACCACTCAATGTGGGAACGAGACATGATCAAAAGGTGGAATGTCCAAATTGGAGTTCCCGCAGAAACCGATCTTGAAGGATACAACGACCCAGGTAATTGTGGAACCCTGGCAATCCAGGATATCTATAAGCGGAGTCCACAAGTTGACGCTTTCCGTGACGAATGTGCTCCAGGAAAAAAAAAATCGGCCAAAGTTGGGTCTTGACCAACTGCTGCCCCCTCATAGCTAGGTTTTCACCGTCACCAGTACAAGATATCATGCTGGAACTGGTGTGTTGGAGTTGCGTTTTGGTTCGTAGTTGTTGCCAGCACAAGAGAAGTTCTTGGATGGGCGCGCCTATCTTCACAGGAAGGAGACACGGCTGCTAGGGCATCATGGGCAATGTGTTACATCACATCATCAGTTGATTTACATGTATAGAACACACATGCATTTAAAGTAATATTCCTTCACTAGGACTACTACGGGGAAGGGGTTAGCACTTGGATGTTGGTTTGAAGTTCGCACCAATTTTACGCATGTGTCTATGGGCATGGTGCCTATGGGGGTCAAAACCCGACCACGTCTCCTTCCCATGAAGCTAATAGATGCACCCCTCCAAGAACTTCTCTTGTGCTGGCAACAGCTACGCGCAGAAGCGCAACTCCAACATGGCAGTCCCAGCATGATATCTTGTACTGTCCCACTCATCACTGGGTTGATCTGAAGGAACATGTGCAGTTCTGAGTCTTACCCTTTTACCAGAAAACTTTTACACTTCTGAGATGTGCTCAGTTTTCCCGTCAAGGTTTTGCTCCAGATGGTCACTACAAAGACAGCCGCCTTCGGATTCCCAATAAATGGGACCCACAGCATGGATCACCCACTTTGCAGGCAATGCTCCGCCAATCGTGGCCTGAGCCTCAGGTGCTCACAAAGTGAACTTGGTGAAGCACATTTCAAATATGTGAATTCATGTAAAATTATGTAAATATGATTCTCCCTTGACCTCCCAAATAAAACATAATCTACAACTAATCCCACACACAAAAAAAAAACATGCCAGCTACCCCCCGATCAGATTCAATCATCATCCAGCCTCTAAGTGCTCAAGAATCTGGTTGGTCTTTCTGATTTCTTTTTCAGATCCCAACCTCCCCAACCTCCTCAACCCTCCTCAACCTCAAGCCCCCCACCTTCCAGGTAGTGGAATCCCAACTTATGAAGATTAGCATCCCATGGTTATACGCATTACTAATCCTTATTACTCATGTTTCTATCCTTCATCAACCATCATTCACCCAAATATAGTTCTGAACATTCATAACCACTATTCACCAATATTCACCATTCTTAACCAATATTAAACACTATTAACCATTATTCACCATGATGAACCCATAAAACCCAGCACCAACTGTACCCCCCGTGGAGCATTTGTTCTTCCCCCCCGGAGGGCCTCCCCGGTAGGGATGCGATCCCCGTACTCGTTGAGCACCGGCAGCTGCTTGCGGGCCTCCTGCAGCTCTGGACCTCCTTGCAGCTCTGGGGAAATCCCCGAACTCTGTGGAGGTTTGAATGGGAAAAACATCAAACTGGCGGATGTTCCCATGTTTGATGACACCGGAGGCTACATGCCAAGAACATCAAGAAAGGATAGCTGCGCCGTTCGATTGATCCATCAACCCACCAGCAAGTCCCTTCCAGCCTCTGGCATTGATGGCCCCATCGACCCCTCCGCCACCCAAGCCGCCCCGATTCGCAGCGTTGACGATTGCATCCTGGGCGACGTGTCCATTGGATCAGGGGGGATCCCGTCACTGGGACATCGTCATGTAAAATGTGGTTGAACAACGTGTGAATAAGGGCTTTATATGTGGCAATAATGAGCATTTAAGCATTAAAAATATGGATTCAATGGATCTTTTATGGGATTTCATGGTAGATTTGGAGGGATAGTATTGGGATATTCATGGATTCCATACTCTCAAATGTGTCATCATCAAACGTGGCTCGGAAAATCCCCGTGGCCATCGAACTATTGCTGGGGGATTTTCCAGCTAGGCATGTGACTGTCCCATCGATTTTTTGGGAATTCATCATAGTCATACTGAAAATTCCCGGTTTTATCATAGTCATGAGTCATAATAAACCAATACAGTTTGATGTTTGTTTGCACTATGATCATAGTCCTGAGTCATAATGCACTATTATCACAGTCATAGTACCCTCTGGTAAACGTTTACATAGCTATTGAAAATGGCCATAGAAGTAGCGGATGTTCCCATTAAACATGGTGGATCTTTCCATTGTTTTTTGTATGTTTACCAGAGGGTTTGTTGCATTATGAAATTGCATGAAGCGTTTTTAAGGAAACCCCCGTGATTCAATCTGGAAAAAAAGGGATGATTCCAACTTCGCCATCACGGTTCAAAGGGGGAATGGTTTACCCTCTGGTAAACCATTACGTAACGTAACTATGGAAAGATCCACCATGTTTAATTGGTAAATCCATGTAAATCCACTATTTCGACTGGGCCATTTTCCAGTTCGCAAACTGTTAGTCATTACCAGAGGGTATCATCTGGGTACACTACCACTAACCAGACCCCAATAACACCAGTATCTCTCCCCCCACTGTTTCACGTTTCTTTTTGGAATCTCCATGGGATCTATTCATTTTAAGGAGCTATCCGTCATGGAAAATGGTCCATTCTCCGCGACCTGAAAAACCATATGGAAACCATAGGGGGAAATCATTATCTGGTTTGTTGGTGGTTGACCTACCATTGGTTGGTAATATACTGTTAATATATGGTTAATACTAATGGTTATTATATGGTTAATGATGGTTAATAATAATCTGGTTGGTGGTTGACCTACCCCTCTGAAAAATATGACTGCGTCAGTTGGGATGATGCCATTCCCAACTGAATGGAAAAATAAAACATGTTCCAAACCACCAACCAGTTCTGATTCATTAGGAAATTAGATCCAACACATTCCAAAACATTCGAAAACCATCCACAATGGCGCTGCTAGGATGGTGCTTTTGTGGCCCCGCGGACCCCACATTCCATATAGAATAATATGCATATATAATATATGATCATATAATTATATATAAATATATATAATATATGAGCATATGTATGTATATATATATATATACATACAATCATTACTATTATATGTACATTATATACAATATATATATATATTATACATATATAACCAGTACATCCCAATTATACCGTCATTTTTCGCGCATAAGTCCCGAATCATTGTGAAATCGCAATGATTGAAGTTACCCGCTACCAATGATCCCAGTTCTCCCAATAAAAAAACTCCGTTTACGTGGCGAAAGATGGCTAAAATAGGGTACCCCTAAATCCCATGGTTCATATACCCTCTGGTTATGTCAAAATAGCTATTGAACATGATCATTTATAGTGGATTTTCCCATTGAAAATGGTGATTTTCCATAGTTTTTTGTATGTTTACCAGAGGGTAGTCATGTTCCCGATATTTCCGCAGGCATTTGGGTGTAAATCCCGATTTTTTTACGACATCGATTCTATATCTCAATGAGATTCCCATGGAATCTCTATGATCTTCCCATCTTTTGGATCTATATGGAAACGACCTAGAAAATCGGGCGACCCCCAGTTCTCATCCATTTTTAGTTGGGATTTTCCGATGAAAATCCCAACTCATGGATAATGATAAGTAAGTTAAGAAAACTACCCTCTGGTAAACTAACATAGCTATTGAAAATTGCCATTTATAGTTGATTTACCCATTAAACATGGTGATTTTCCATAGTTTTTTGTATGTTTACCAGAGGGTATCCCAAGTTTCCATCCAGCTGGTGGCTGGACACAATGCCGACCACGGCACGCCGGCGAAGTCGACGACGCTGCCTCTGGAGCACATGAGGCGACACGTGGGCGTCACGGCGAAGGCCTCCTGCACCTTCACCTGAAAGGGTGATGATTTTCATGGTGAAATCCCTGGGAAAATATGGTGATGTGATGGGATCTACAGTAATAAGATTTCACCAAGCAAAATATGGTAATGAGTCATGAGATTCAACCAAGAAAAATGCTTGGATTTACGCAAGAAAAATGGGGATTCAACATGATTCAATTGGAGTTATAGCTGATTTGTGATGTTGATGTTACGCAGCGAACTATGTATAACCCATACAAGGGTGATGCCCCCCATCCTTGGCCAAGGTGGAAAGTTCCATTTTGATGGGGATGTTAGCCAACATATATACGGGAACTGGTGGATATGACCAAAAGAATATATAGTAGATAGTTAGATGGGTTTAGATGTTTATGAATATGTGTATAATAGAATACATATGTATATATATATATATGGAATATATAGGTTATAAGTTATATAATCTATAAATGGGAATATATATATATATGGAATATGTAAGGTATATACCTGGCTGGTGGTTTTAACCATCTTGAAAAAAATGAGTTCGTCAGATTGGGAAGGGTGACATCCCATATATGAAATGGAAAATAATCCAAATGTTCCAAACCACCAACCAGTATGTATATATATATATATACATACACATTGTATGTGAATCATATCCAATCTATTGTTCACATATGTGTGTTATATATGTTGGTCATGTGAAGTCATGTGAACATGACGATCTCATCCCCTGGAAACAGGCTCTTGGTAAAGGCATGGAAGCATGGCACTGGTGTGTTTTTAAATCACATCTCCTGAAACATTACAAATCTGACAGATTCCCATTTATATATATATATATTCCCATTTATATGTATTCCCATCTTCTGAATATATAGGTTATATACTCTATAAAAGTATATCAGAAGATGATGTTGCTTGTTTTTTCTGTTTTATCCTTTTCTATAAGCGGTTTTGACAGCTGAGATCCTGTAAACACGTGTAAACACATTCATCTTCAGTCAGAACAAGAGTGGAGATACTGAATCTTCATGGCTAACCTTGGATCTGTAAACAGCTGGTCTGTCTGAAAATAGGGTCCCTACTTGAAGTTCCTGGTGAAAAATGGCGTTTCCCGAGAGAAAAATGGCAATACATTGGTGGCAATATCCCCAGATGATCTTCATTGCAGGTATATTCCCATGGAAATATCCAAGTATATTCTCCCCTAAATCCACCATTGCTAGAAAAGCTACAAAAACGCACAAAAATTAAGGTACCAAACCACCAAACCCATCCCCCAAACCTAGGATTTAAATCTCAAAATCCTATTCATTTAAAATGAACCCAAAGATTTCGAGAAGATTTTCCGAAACTTCCATCCAGATGCGGCATTTTTTACATGTCACCTTCCACTCTTTTTTGCCATGTCACACCATGCTCGGAAGGCATGGTCCAATGGTGCTACACCACGGTGCCCCGATGGCCAAGTTGCTGAAATTCATGTAATACGGCTGTTGTGATGGGATTTGAATGGGAGTCAAGCGACCAAAATGGTGATTTAATGGGATTTGCCTTGGGCAACACATACATATTTGTATGTGTATATATAATATAATATATGTGGAAGACCAATGGTTTCCGTTCAACATGATCTACTTTCATGCTGGGTTTTCCGCATCTACGTTAGTTTACGGGAGGGTCCTCCCAAAATGGGGGGATGAAGCGACACTTTGACCAAGGACTGGTGATGCACCCAAGAAATTCTGGTCTCAAATCCCATCCCGTCGGCGGCTTCTGTTGCCTTGAGAACTAACATTCGACAGATCCAGAAAAAAAAAACATGAAAAAAAGTGCATCTTAAATGGTTCTTAAATGGTTCATGGTCTACGTGGGGCATCATCTATCATCATCTCGCATCTGCAATTGACTTGAACTTCATTATTTTGAGCCCCACAATAAAAAAAGCGTCTAAGACTGTGCAAGTAGGGACCAATTTCTGGAGCCCACAGCTCCGTATCCAGTGGGACTCAACTTAATAGGTTGGTATAAGTACGTGTCGCCACCATCATTATGGAGCTGATGGAGGTTATATCCCAACTTATGGGGGTTATAGCACCATGGTCTATGGTTATACCGATGAATCTCAAATTTTAAGAGTTATCTGAGTTATATTCCCAAGCATAGTTATCCCAAGCATATTCCCATCCATCCATTTGATGAACCTTTCTGAAACCTTGGCCATGAACCTTCCATTCCCACTGCCGTATATCTCTGCAGCTCCACCTGGCCCACGGGCTTCAGGTCAGCGGACGCGACCATGGCGCCAGGCGTGAAGCGATCTTTCACCTGGGCTGGGAAATCCCCTAAGGGTTTCTCTTGGGGAAAACCAGTGATAGGAATGGATGTTACCCATCCAACCCGGTAGTTTTTCACCAAACTATGGGAAATCTGAAACTTTTTTCACAAGACTTCCAATGGAAAATGGATGAAAATGGCCCTTTGAGTTGCCGATTTCGCTGCTGCCTGGGTGTCTTCCTTGTTTTTCTGTGTTTTCTAAGGTTTGGATGTATGTAGCCACATGCATTTGTTTTCTGTAACACCTGGAAATTGTGTAGGACTTGTTGTTGCGTTGTTTGGATGTGGATGTTTGATGATGTCCTCGCTTTGAGATCTGACCTTCACTGCGTGTTTCTCCTGTCATATGGTCGCTTGGGTGTGTTGGTGGAGGCTAATAACGTTCGACGTCTGCTACACCAATGGTCTTTGCTTCTACATTTGCCATCAGAAGTGATGCTACGCTATTGATCTGTGCTTTTCAACTTGCCACCAGAAGTGGTGTAGGGCTATTGATCTTTGCTTCTACATTTGACATCAGAGGATGCTACGTGCTACGGTATGGATCTTTGCTTCTACATTTGACATCAGAAGTGACGCTACGCTATGGATCTTTGCTTCGACATTTGCCATCATAGGTGATGCTATGCGATTGATCTTTGCTTCTACATTTGCCAGCAGAAGCGATGCTATGCTATTGATCTTGCTTCTACACTTGCCACCAGAAGTGATGCTACGCTATTGATCTACGCGGCACGATTCGCAGAAGCAAGTCGCCATCAGTACATTGTTTCACAATCTACCGTTGAACGTGATGTTCTTCGGATGAAAGCAGTTTTCGGAAATGAGAAAAAGGGCGCTTCCAACATTGATGCGTATTTGCAGTACCAGGCACCTCACAGCGCCCTTCCCATTGAAAGTTTCATGATTTACCTATTGAAAATTGTAATTTTCTATAGCTATGCTAGACTACCAGAAGATATATGACCTAAAATGATATGGTCATAGGGTCATTTTTTTTTCTGCATATATAACATACTATCAAAAAGATGGATGAAACAAATGGATATCAACCCATAGCTGAAACGACTGAAAGATATCTAAGATTTCTAAGAAGCCCTCTGTAAGATCTTGAGCCACACCCATTTCAAGTGATCGCATCCGTTTACAAACCATCACCTTAAATGTTGCACATAATCAATCATAATCATATATTAAATAGATTTAAATAGACTCTTCAACCTCATCCTCTTTCGGTCATCACGCATCCATCGGGCTTGTTGACCAAGCCACCTGAACAAAGGCCACATCTCCAAATTCCTCGGGTTTTTCTCAGGGGAAACTCGTCCGAGGCAGTTGCCAAGTTGGAGGGGCCTGGGTCAATTTCAACCTGGTTTTAATGGGGAAGTTTCTCTTGGAGTGCCAGATTGAATGACATCTCTGCGCTGTTTTTGGATGTTTTTGGACTTGGATTCCCAAAAAACCCAAAAAAATCCATGTCTCTGGAAGAAAATTGGGGGCTGCGTCTCGAAGTGACTTCGGGGCTCGGAAAAAAGGTCACATGTTTTTTTGCTCATACCCTCTGGTAAACTAACATAACTATGGAAAATCACCATTTTTAATGGGAAAATCCACTATAAATGGTCATTTTCAATAGCTATGTTAAATTACCAGAGGGTATCATTTCATCGAAATCATGGCTGAAACCATTACTCAGTAGTCCAGCTCTGAGTGCCGCTCCCGCATCAAATCTTTCAAATCTTGCCAGCCACACTGCGACGGCCTTGATCACCAGTTCTACCACTTTTCCAAGAATCATGTTCCAACCGTGGATGAATCGAAGCCGGCTGTGCTTCCCTTTCAAAATGTCCCGGCTTTCACCCCTCATCCAAGCTGCACCTGTTTAACCGTAAGCCAACCTGAACCCCCACATTTAAAAAAAAAGGCGTTGGATTATGATGTTCCTAAAAGATTCCACATTGGAAACTGGGCGACCGCCACAATCCCATGACCAGGATCTTGGTGCCGTCTTGGGAAGTGAGGTCCACCTGTGGCAGAGTGGGCCAGGGATATATGGAAATATGATGGTTCCCGATACGTATACAATATATGGTTCTTTGTAAGTGTGTGTGAATGTATCTGCATGGCAGTCCACATGTGTATATATATACACATATGTGTATATATATACACACACATCAGATTAGCACAGATGATCACTTGCTGCAAACTGTGCCATCACGTAATTCTAGATGCTTGGTAACTTTCATCCTGCCATTGTTTCGTGAATCTCCCAGTTGCTTGTCGGCGGATTTGCCAGGTCGAAACCCACATTTCAAGCATGGCTTCTTCAATTTCCCCCCTTTCCAGCAATCCCTAGATTTTTTACAGAAAATCCATGAAAATCCCCCAAGATCATCTGGTTGGTGGTTGAGCCACCCCTCTGAAAAATGATGGAGTTCGTCAGTTGGGATGGTGACATTCCCAATATGATGGGAAAGTCATAATCCAGCCATGTTCCAGTCACCACCAACCAGATATATTGTTATTCCAATTATGAACCATAGATTAACCATAGATTAACCATAGATTAACCATAGATTAATCATTCACTGCCCTTTTTTTCCAGCCTTCACCTTGAGTTGGTGCCCCAGGTACTCCTGACCATCCAAGGCCAAGGCCAGGCCAGCAGCCTCGGGGTCCTCGAAGCGCACCTTGAGGGATATCTATATATCTATCTATATATATATCTATGTATATATATATTTATTTATTTATTTATTGATGTATCTATGTATCTATGTATTTATTCATGTGTATGTATGTATGTGTATATAAATATATATATACATACATATATATATATATATTTATAAACTTGATGGGCGATGTTTTCATCAGGAACCCAAAACAACCATTTTATGGGAAGATCTTCTGGGATATGTATATATATATACGTTTATATGTATATATATATATGTATTCACTTATTTACTATATGTATGTTGTAAGATTTAAGAATCTGATATGCGAGTTTTGTTTCAGGAAACCAAGAATTTACCAACCATTTTATGGTAAGATTTATATGGGAAGATTTGTTATATATACTATATTATGTAATATTATGTATATGTATACAAATTACGAATCTGATGATTGGATATTTTTTCTGCCCCTGGATCTTGCTAAAGCCTGGTTGATTCAAAATCAGATGGTTGACCCATGTTGACCCCAGTGATGTCATCTGCTACTAAAATGGTACCCAATGATCAACAGCCTAGGGGTTACGAAAATCCGAGGTTAACATGACTTGGATTCACCAAGCAAAATCTAAAAGGTGGTGCCCCCCTAGTTATGTTTGTTGGTTTATAATCCCCACCCCCATCCATCAACCCAACAGATTTTGGACTTACAGCATTTGCACCAACTTAGCGATTCCCAACTGGGGCACCACCTTGTATGGATCATCCCTAAGAATGGAAGAGACAACCGATGGAAGTAGTGGGAAGTAGTGGGGTTAGTGACACCCGCTTAGAAATGGGAGTAATGTTGGTAAACCAATAATAAACCATCCCAATTTCGCCAGAAATAGGTGGGATTCCAACCAGTCCCAAATGGGGTGGTTTATGACATTGGTTTAACCACATGACACAGTCTGGGGACTTAGCAGGGTTACTAACCCTTGTGACTCAGGGTTAACATGATTTTTGTCACGAAATGCCATTTTCACCATTAAAATCACCATTTCTACCATGGCTTTGTATAAGGTGAATCCCCATAGCATGGGTCACTTTATGGCAGGTGAATCCCACATCGATCTCCACCTCGCTTTCGGGACACCTTTTCGTGGCTCATCCGAAATACCCAACGACATCATGGGGTTAACGACATACCAAAATATGTATATAATATATGCCATGATAGGGTTAATTAATGTTGATTATATCATACATATGGGGTATTGAAAAAAGTGGCATGAGGGTTAACCATACGGAAAGCTGGATTTGTTCACCATATGCCACTATTTTCAATACGGAAAATTTCCCCTGCTTTTTTCATCCTGAGATAGAATATGGCATGCTCAAAACATAGTGTGGGCCATTCATGGTGGTATCGCTGCCAGATGGACACCAGAACCTGG